GCTATCATTTTCTTGACTTCATCTTCCCACTCCTCAGTGAGAGTTCCATGGATTCAGAGAAATGCACTCCGGGTTAAAGGGAAAGCAAGAAGACGGTCTAGACTTGAAACTCATGCTTTTCAGCATTATACTCTCCTGCCCTCTAAATGGGTGGAAAGTCAGCGCTTCTTTTTAACAAATGATTAAAAAAATTTTTTTTTGGTAGGGGAGGTGGTTAGGTTTATTTATTTATTTTTTAGCAGAGGTGCTGGGGATTGAACCCAGGACCTTGTGCACGCTAAGCACGCTCTTTGTCACTGAGCCATACCCTCCCCTACCCAAGTTAGTGCCTCATTGATGTGAGAACTACAGACCACATTTCTGATCCAGAGAAAGAAGTAGTACCTGAGAGGCAAGGTCGGTGAGGCTTCAGGACCGTCACAGTTCTACAGCATAGTCAGATCGTGGTATATTATGTCGTGCTGGAGTTCTGGAGTGACGCCATCACGGATTCCAAGTTGCATGTGAAATTCCAACCCCTAACTGTTGGGTTACTGGGAATAAGTCTATCACCTTGAATTTTTGGAGCTTGGCAAATCATCACTTCCATTCAAGAGACTGAAGCTGCCGACGTCCCCCGGCTGCTGTGCAGGGAGGCGGCCGGGAGCAGACAGGCAGCAAAGCTCTGGAGCAGATGCGCCTAGCTGCTCTTCATCAGGGGAACCTGCTAGGACCATGGGGATGGAAATCCGATGAAGCAGCGCTGTCACCACTGATGTGGAGAGGGGTCCTGAGCCCTTCACAGCAGCAAAGCCCTCAGCCCTGCTGCGGAAACCACCACTCTAGACTTGGCTTTCAAAATAACTCCCCTAGGGTTTCAGAGCCCCCAGAACTCATGCAGTGTCCCCAGCCAGCCTCTGTTCTGGGGGGCACTGGCATTTCTTCTCTGGAGCACAAGGGAGATAGCCCAGATAAGACCAAGGGGTCTGGGGCTGGTAGGGAGTCAGTTTCATGTCTGGGAATGATTTCAAAGAATATGCTGTGAAAGAAAAAAACCAACATTTTCATCAGTATTTATTATGTTACTGTTGACTATCTTCTCCTTTTATCTTCAGCTTGTCATTTATACACAGTCGATCATTTTAGTGCCGATGGCTTCACGGCCCCCGCCTGCCACACAAAGTCCTCCTCCATGCTCTGTTATTATTATAATTATTACATTATTGTATTTGCACTGTACTTTGGTCTCTCCCTCCCTGCTCGTTTTCTTCCCCCAAGACTTGAACATGATCCCACTTCTTGGGAGAAAACAAGTCAGCCACCAACCCCCTCCCCTCGAGCTCCACCCTCCCTGCCCCGTGCACCCCCAACGTGCTCCCGCGGAGGGAAGGGTCCGCACCGGCTATCCTCAGTCTCTCACCCCCACTTGCTGAAACTGTCCATCACGCAGGTCACTGGTTATTTTTGCCTTGTCCAGCAGCTAGACACTTTTCCTGTTTATTGAATACATTTTTCCAGATTACATAAGCAATAGATTTAATTCTGGCAAGTATAAAAAGTGAAATAATAAAATTAAAATCACCCCACACATAGCAATGGTTAACAGCTGGATGTATTTACTTGCCGGTGCCTTATACACATTATCCGTAACGTGTTTACATCTCCTACTTCGATAGCTGCCTTTCCTGAAGGTGCGTCACATGTCAGCCACCGAGGCACTTTCAGAGGGAAGCTGAGAGGGCAAAAGAGTCACTCAAAGTCACGGGGTGAGGGGTTGAACCCAAGCTGACCATCTCTAAAGCCAGAGCTGCTGACCACCGTGAGTTCTTGCCTTCTGCTTTTTTTCCTGCTCACAATAAATCATAATAATTTGCCATGTCATTAAAATATACCCCCTTCATGGTAGCATCCTCTAACTGCTTCTGGGTGCAACATTCTCCCACTGATGGAAATTTGGGTCGCTTCTGATTTCTCCTGTAAAATGAGTATCTTTTTAGTAAACCTTTTAGTATGTTTCTGATGATTTCTTTTATGTAGAATTCTCCAAAACCAATTCATTGGGTCACCAATGATAATATTTAAATATCTTGTTACATGATTGTCACATTGCTTTGCAGGCAGGACAGTCACATGAGAGCCTGTCCCAGTACACGCTTCCCAGCATCAAACGCTGTCCTCAGAAAATATGTCCCCTGAGTGTTTCCCTGGCTTTCGTGTTAGGAAGGCGTGGTGTGTGTT